AGCAATTCTCTGAAATAATTTTGGACCTCCCAGGGCAGCCACTTCTCTGGGTTACCATCCTTAAATGCAAGGGGTTTTGAGCCTCTGCTCTAAAGTTCAGCACCACCAGATTCCACAGGCAGGATGGCACATTTCCCATCGCCTCAGTCTGACATGAAAAATACCTTGCTCAGCGTGTGTGACACAGCTAAACATGGGCTCTCTGGCAAAGCTGTTTATCTTTTTCTCTCGAGACAGAACCTCACAGCATCACCTTTGTTCTGCTCCCTCTCAAAAGCTCTTTTAATTTCCTAAAATCTGAAAGATGTAGGGCATGCATGTGAGAAGAAGCTGGGAAACAGAGAAACTCAGGTCTTTCAGATCTTCAACCAAAAATCTTTCCAAAGAGCAGCCTGGAACTATGTGCTGACATTGATGATGTGATCCTGGTGAAATACCAAAGAAGGAGCAGCAAACATGCTCTTCTCCTGCAGCTGAGGACCTAGTGAACTCACCTTGGGACCAAGCTGAGAGCTGTTCTGCTGCCGAGCCAGCACAGCTCTTGTCAGCAAAATGGAGTTGTAAGGCAGCAAGTGAGGTTTACTAAAAATACCACGGTTGCCACATCTGTAGTCCTAGAATAGCCATTTTTACTAACTATGAGAGGCACAGAAATATTCAGATAAGCTTTGGACTGTATTGGGCAGTCAAATAAAAAGCTGAGGGTACAAACATTGTGAATATGATCCTATTGTCTGGACTTTATGTCACCTGAACTTCTGTTATCTGAACTTCAGTTATCAGAGCAAGTTCTATTTGAAGGAAGCTGGTTCTTGGAAATGAAAGTAATAGGGAGTAAAGTACATTAGTTCCTTTCTATCATTTCATTGATATGACCCAGAATGTGTAAATTATTACCACGACAACTGAAAGTTTGATTATAAAACAGAAACAAGATAGCTGTAGTCTGCCAGTTCTTATTTGGAGTTTTATTACTTTGAGCTTTATTTCATAATCATTAGCCATCAGATAAATACTGCATGTTTTAGTTGGATATGGTAAGATGGTGTGTGCAGATGCTAAATTGACAAAATTACAGGGCTTTTTTTTTAATGATTAAAATGGTTAATGTATTACTAGGATGGCATTAATTTGTTTTCTAGAGATTTGACTAGGGGATGATTTTAAAACTGGATGCTGAATTGCAGGTTCCTGGATTTATAGTGTGGCATTCACGTAAGTGGCTTTTATTTCATAATTTCTGGATTACTGCTCTCACCACCCTGGTAGTTCCCACTGGTTTTTCTAGGAATGATACTGTACTCCGTGCAGGTATCTGAGCCTTCTCATATACATTGAGCAGATTACTGGCCATTTCTGTGGGGGATCTGACTCACCCCACCCTCAGATTTGGTGCTTTTAGGATGAGAAAGGGGAGCATAAGATGGGAACCTCCTGGGAATGAAAACCTGGGACAAGAATTGCTCTTTGGAAATTGTCTCTCTTTGCCACAGGGCCCACTACTTTGGCATCTTTAGTGACTCTTTTTCTGTTTGGGATTGAATCCGTTGTGTCTAGGGTTATTTCAGTGAAATGAGAGGCACATAGCCACCCTTCACCCTAATCTGAGTCCCCTTACTCTTCCACCTTGCCAGTCCATTCTCAGCTGTGGCCCTGTGAAAGCTCCTCTGCAATCTGTGATCCAGCCTGTCCATCTGGGGAGGAAAGAGGCATTCCCTTTCAACCTCTTTACAGCTGTACAGGACAAATACCACCCTCAATTTTTCCTCTCTGAGGTGCAAAAGGTGTTTCCTCTTGCATGTAGGAAGTTTTGCAGCTGCTAAATGGCCTTGTTGTGGCATTTTTCCTTTCCTGTCACTGAGCATGCACTGAACATCAGGAAATCATTACAGAAAATTGAGAGACTGTGTGTGTGTGTATACACATACAGAATCCATAACCCAACTGATGCAGTAATGTGCAGGGTAAGTTAAAATACCTCCCACACAATATCTGGCTTCTGAAGCACATCTCCAAATTGGCCATTACCAGAGTAATGACTTAATCAGTTGTTAACAATCATTGTACTCCCTACCAACCTATGAGCATATAACCTTACAAAGACTCCCCTGGTACCTCCTCTGTTGCTGTCATCAAAAGAGCTGGCCTTATTTCAGGTGTTTTCTATGCACTGCTGCCAGGGTTCCTCTCTCTTGATTTCCTAAGGCATCGCTTCCAGTGCAGGGAACTCTCTTGCTACCCCCAAGGGGAAGAAACTAAGTGGAAACTCAGCAGCTGCCATTTACGTTAGAAGTCCAGCTTCCAACTAAAGTTGGTGCTTTGTTACCTTCTGGACTTAAAACCTTGGAGAGCAAGGTCTAGCTTTCCAGGAAATTCATTCTGTTCACACTGACGGCTTTGCCTCAGTTTCTGACAGTCCCTGCAGTGCTTAGAAAGAGCAGTGCTCCAAACACCCTGGGGTGGAGAGTGCCGTGCTGCCCCAACCCCAGTGACACTGACAACCTTCCTAGACGTGCATAGGCCAGATCTTGTCCCACCTCTTCCTTGATGGGAGATGTGGAACTTTCCTTTAGTCCTTGTCTTGATGGGTGAGGTCATCAGGAGCATACCAGTGATTTGTGACATTTGTCCTGCCACACTTAGTCTGGGGTCAAGGGGAATAACTTCACAATCAGTAGAACTTTTCTAATGAGGGCTACTCTGAAATTACTCCAGTGAAAGGACATATCATCACATAGAAAAAGCACTGTGGGATCAGAAATCCCCAAGGCTCTGTGTCTTTTTTTTTTTATTATTATTTTTTGCAAATGAAAATGAGCTTTAGCCCTGAAGGGTTCCCAGTGCCACTGTTAGGGGTTTGTTAGGAGTTCTCAGACTCATAACCTGAGCACAGTCCATGTTGCTTTGCTTGAGCTACACAAGTTAATCACCAATGACTAGCTGCAACACCTCAAAGCATTTGATATAGTTTTCTTCCCATCAGTTGTAACCGAGACAGAGAGAATTAACTTGGGGAATGCATTATCCAAATCATGTGCTCATAACTGGGTGGAGTTGGCATGCTAAGAGCATACCCAGCTGTGGGCTGCAGGAATGAGAAGGATCTGCTTGATTTTCCTAACGCCATCTGCTTCCAGACCTCGTGGAGAAGTGCAGGGGCAGAAGCTTGGCAGAGAAAGCCAATAGGATAAAGACAGCATGGAGTGACAAACAATTTGTTCAAGGACAGCTATTTGGGACACACAAGGATGTGTTACCTAAAGCTCTCTGGTCTATATCAAATGTAACATCAGGTCCTTAGTCCTCTTGGCTCTGAGTGGTTCTTTTGGTACTTAATTGCTTCAGAAATCTTCTCCCTCCACTCCCACCCATGAAAGGCCAGTGGGGATGCCTGAGTAGGGGTCTGGTTTCTCAGAGCAATCCATTTCAACCACATGCAATGAAAATAAGAAGGCCATCCTATCCTCAGCAGTAGCACTGTGTCATAGGATGTGCCTCGTGCTTGCTCTGAGGTGGCAAGGCCTTACCCAGCTAAGACATTCAGGTGAGGCAAATAGCCTAAGCATCCAGACTCACAGCTACAAGGTCCCTCTATATAAAACAGAAAGACAGGGAAGTTGTTCAAGGGAAACTGAACCTGTCCTGAGATTTGACTGGCCCACCAGGAGGAAGAGTGACAGAAATCCCTTGCCTCTCCCTCCCTCCTTCACTCCCTCCCTCCCTCCTTCCCTCTCTCCCTTCTTCCCTCCCTCTCTTTATCCCTCTGTTCCTCCATTCACCCATCCCTCTGTTCTTCTATCCTTCCATTTCTCCACCCATTCCCAGTTTGGCATCTCATTCAGTACCAATAGGTAGGTGAAAGGAATCTGACCTATGTGTTTCCACCAGCCCAGGGAACAAATGAACGTGAAACACATCCAAGACCTCTTTACTGCATTTCTCCCTCCTCTGCTCGCTCCCAGCTTTGTCTTATTTAACACTTCTTAGCAGCAAATGACTTTACATACTTATATCATGTAAGTACAGCCAGATTAGATATCTATTCTCCTCCCTTCCAAGTGTAGCAGATAGTTGGAGAAGGGTAAGAGCAGGGAAAATATATAAGACATTGCCACCTTATACAACCTCCATATGTTTTGAGTTCAATTATTTCCCACATATGATGTGGTTTTCATGGATTTAGTAATTTTCACTGGATTAATGTCTAACATCTGGCCCTCACCATGAATCCATGGAAACTTTTATGATCCACAATCTCTTGCAGCAAGTAGTTCTCCAAGTTCCCTACACCTTACATGAAGAGTTACATCTTTCTGAATATGGTGCCCAGTAGTTTTGATTGATAACTCCATTTTTTTATTGGAAGAGGTACTAAACATCCAGTCCTTTCCTACCTTCTACAAGAAAATTATGTTCCCACACACCCTTGTGATATCTTCCCCCAGCTGTCCTTTCTTCCAGACTAGTGAGATACAGCCTATCCTGTGCTTCCCAGACCCCACTAGCTCCGGATATCTCTTCACCTGGGTTGCCCTCCAAACCCTTGCCTATTATACTATTTCTCTTCTGAGACAAAAAGACCAGGACCACAAGACCTGCACAATTTGGGTGGTGGCATAGTGACGCTATCTGATAATTCCTGGTATCTGATTTGCTTTACTGACTGTTGCTGAACGGTGAGGTGCATTTTTGTAGAGCAGGCTCCCACAGTCCCAAGACTGTGTTGTTTCTGCCTGTCCCCCCGCCCCCCCCCAACCCTTCCATCTTAAGTAGTAATGGTCAGGGTAGAGCTAATAATTCTAACTTCAGAAACTAAAAATATTGTACATAGGAACAAGAGTGTCTGCCAGAGACCCCCACGGGGATGAGTCAGAAATCTCAAGAACAGTGGCCCACAACAACAGAACAAGACCTTTACAATAACGTTTGGATACAGAAAGATGGTAGCTACTGACCTGACACAGTCTGCTGAGCAGCTGGGCCAGGACCACACATAACAATTTAATCCAGCACCTCTTTTACTGAAAATGAATAACAAAACCTTAATAAATCAACAATTACTTATTGCTGTATTTGGGGTAATAAATTCTTTAGTTTATCAGTAGCTTGTGGCTTCCATAGCATGTTCTTTGAACAGTTTGCCTTTCAGTTACATCCCCTTTCTCTCCTGAACAATAAATTAGCATTCTTTTTTTTAAAGGAAAAGAGGGGAAAAAGAGGATATATTACAATTTTTTCAAAGCAAAAGGAAAAATGCAACATATTTTTGACATATATCTTAAAATAATATGAGGATAACTTTCTCTGCGTGTTAGATGCCTATGCATAAATAATAAAGGACGTTGTGTTATTTACAGTGTTACACAATAAACTAAGAGCATCTCATTTAACATATAATCCATAAAGACAGTAAATAATGAAAACATCCATGTATGTACAAGATGTATTTACAATAGAATAGAGAATTACAAATGATGGTAATTGGCCATGTTCTTTGTCTGCCCTTCTCTGCAGCATTTCATAGGTGCTTTTTTTGTTTCTTACTAGTAGTAAGTCCCAGCTGATGGTAAGTAGCCACACTGCAGGGCCAAGAAGTGCTCAACAGGCTGAGAAGTGTGTCCTTTGAGGAGACACAAGTTTGCTATCCTGGATGCTCAGGAAACTGCTTGCAATGTGTGTGGGAGAAGCAGGGAGATGCAGCATTGTTGTTTTGTAGGACTGGAAAGAAAGAGCTTTCCTTTTCCCTGATAAAGGCAGTGATTAATCTCTTAAAACCTGGGGGTGTTGGGGTGGCTCAAATGAGGAAGAGAATAACTGGGTCAAGAGGAGGAAGTAGGTTTTTCTCTGTTACATGAGAACATCTGTGGAGCTGTAATGATTTACACCCCCTGAACAGGTAGGCCGTACCCAGGTTGTGCACAATATACTCCAGCTATACACCCCTTAAAGAAACCTTTTATCCTGGAATAACTCCTGCATATAAACACATACACAGGGAAAACTCACGGCCAAAATTAAACGACGTGGAAATAAACCAGGACAATCTCAACAACTCTGCCACCACTGGAATATTTCCCCCCTCTTCAAAGAATGTTTCTTCTTGCCACGACTTTTCAGCCAAAAAGCTGGCAAGGATTGCACAGTGATGGCTCAAGGGCGTTGGGACTGCCTAGCTCAGAGGTCTGGGTACTGAAGCAAATATCCCCAGCAGGGGAGCTGGCCTTTCCCGTAGGCACTTGCTGGCTCTGCTCCGTGCTGCTGCAGCCTCCAGCCCCTTGGCCAGCAGGAGATGGCTGCAGCCTGCCAGCAGCATCTGTGGCCAGGTAGACTTGCTAACGTCTGGGTGTGGTCTTGACTGATGAGAAACACCCTCACAGAGTATAAACACAAGCTGAGAGGTGGGGGGCTGTGTCCTTCTCCCAAGTTCTGTGAGTGCCAAGCTGGGGCAATTCCCCGTAACTTGCTGCTGCATGAATTGTGCTGTAAGGCTGGGTTCTCCACAAAGACCTAAGGGCTTAGGCAGCCATATCCCCAATTGTATTTTCTTGTTCTTAGGTCCGTGTGAAGTCTCCAGCCTAATTTCATGCTTACCCTATAACACACTGTGTATGTCCCGGGAGGGAGGAAGAGTGGGAACTGCACACCGCTTTGACTTTGAGGCACTGCAGCAGAAGAGGTGTGACATTTTTCCCTAGACCTACACCAAATAAATCTCACAGGCACAGCTCCCAAATAGGGAATTGCTCCTTCATTTTGTACTGGCCCTCTATAATAACAGTGTTAGTAGTCAAATAATCTGCTCCACGTCAAGGCATGTTCCCTTTCCATCCCGATTAATCCGTCTGGGCTATTAACAGACACTTCAGTGAGAGCTGGCCTTGTGGGTGATCTATACTGGAGGAGTTTACAAAAGACTTGTGTTATAATCTCTATTCTGCCACTAAGATGGGAAATTTTTGGGGAAATTCGTTGTTTCTCTGCCATCCTTTTTCTGTCTCATCTGTCCTGCAAGGTCTTTGCAGTATCAGAGGCCTTCCTGAAAGGACAGATTTTCAAGTGCCTCTGGAAACTCAACAGTGTGAACCCTGTGGAAACTCGTGGCCTTCATCAGGAAAGCCCACTTGGCCCTCTGAACAACTGAGTTGCAGAATTACTGGGAAGGTGGATGTTCTGCTGCATGGGATTGCAGATAAATAGGCATGACTAAAGGGATGAAAATGAGAGTACGCTGTCTAGAATTTGTAGGGGAGTTTTTGTTTCAGTCTGCAAAGGCAAAGTGTCTTCAAGTACATGCCAACTAGGGAAAAATGGCAAAGGGGACTTAAGTCCAGACTATGTATTTGCCATCTCCCATAGACTTCTCAAATAAGCAGGGCCATTTCAGCCACCATGTAGCCCAAAGCTGTGCTAGTTTCCTAGCATACCAACATCCTACAACTTTGTTATCTTCTTCTTCCTATACCAAGGGTTTTTTTGTTCTTTTTCTGCTGAATCTGGTGTTCAGGTAGACTCACCCATGTTCTTACTAATATGATACATTTATTTATGCAGTGAGCTACTCACTGATTTTTGTCATCCTGGCAAAGAGCTTCTTTTACTATACTTTGCTTTCAGGTCTCAAATTAATAGGACATGCTTTGTTCATCAAAACTCTTAAGCACATGCTTAACTTTGTGCATATGCTGGATGTGTAATTGGGAGTCTAGCACATGCTCAAGGTAACTTCTGCTGAGATTAGCACAAGCATATGCTTGAACAATTTACTGAGTCGGGTCTTTAGTTCCTCAGGTTTGCATCTCACAAAATTTCTTTGACGTATTTCTCTTCATTTAACTGGGACCAGAATGTGGCCCAAAGGATGAGTGTAGTTTGGCTGAAATTCTTTTTTTCTTGACATGGCTCTTATTTTGAGCTCAGTAATACCTGTAAAACATATGTTCTCATTTTCAGAATCCCCAGAGTCTAGGAAAAGCATTTGTTTTCCACATCAGTCCTGAGTCAATGCTGTGCCAACTGAATACACAACAAAAAATCAAAAGAATAGAAGAGGCAGAGTGACCCTGACTAAACTGATAGGAATTCAGTGCAAAAGAGGCCATTTGCTTCTGCCTGGGTGGATGCAACTGCTCCAGCACTGGCAGCATCCTTGTTCATTACTAGTTAAAGACTTCAAGACTGTCACTGGCTGTATAAACACTGATATCAAACAGTCACACATGCGTTACTCTGGCTGTAACCCACATGGTGTGCTTGCCTTCATAAGTGGCCTTTGCATCATCCTTGCCTCTCTCTACCCAAGTAATGGAGTAAAAAAAGGCAAGTAGAAATAAACTCCATACATCTGCTATGTCCTTCCTATGTGCCTATACTTTTTAACCATTCAGCGAATCAAGTTCTTCCCTAAAAGCATTTCTGTGTCCAAGAGTAAGCCTTACTCCAACAGCAACTCTAACAATGTATTGCTAGAAGCTTGTCAGGGTTCTTTCTGAGAAGGAGAAAAAAAGGGAAGAAAAATTGAGGGGAAACAAAAGAATAAATTGTGTTTTAGAAAGCAACATTAAAAAATAGAGGTGAAAACTGATTGCACTTTTATTAGTGGCATTTGTTTTCCAGCTAGATCTCTTCCTTGCTTGGTTACAGATATCTGCTATTATATAAATTTTTTTAAAATTTTTTTCCTTTTTTTTTTTTTTTTTTTTAAATAGAGTATTGGGTTCAAAGCCTCAGTTAACTTAAACCCATTTCCTAAGGGATAACTAGAACAATTAATATCTGGAAAATAATGAAATGGCAGCTCCTAGTGATTATAAGCTGACCTCTGATTAATAATAATATATTTGGTTTAAAATCACAGTATTACTTTCTTTCTATAAGTAACATTACTTAATGCAGGTTGGTGCTTTTTTTTTCGTTTGTATGTTTTTTGTTATCCTGCTGTAATTAATAGTAGCATGCTGTTGGATCTACTATTATCCCAGTGCTCAAAGAAGCAAACCTTTTGGCTGGCAGAGAGCAGACAAAACTCATCTCATACACAGGAAGCAAATAAAAGTTCTCATAGAAGAAAATTTTTTTTCCAGTTTTTTATCTTTTTTTTTCTTTTTCTTTTTTTTTCTTTTTTTTTTTTTTTTTTTTTTTGGTATTTTTTCTGTGGGGGGGTGTGTATTGTGTTGGGGGGGTGGAGTAGGGGGGGATGTACAGGGTGGCGGAGCGGGGGGGCTGCAGCAAGCGACGGCCCAGAGGACGGAAAATTCTGCAACATGCAGTCATAAGCCAGTGCACAAAAAAGCTAGGACAACTGAGGGCTAAAAGGTTTTGCAAAATACTATGGGACAGCCATCATTGTAACTGTACAAAACTTGCTCTCAACTTAACATAACATAAAGGCACCATTGATATCTTTCCCCATTTTTGAAATACTGTAAAAAATTGCTACATATGGCACATAACACATTTGTACATACGTATATTTAATTTATAAAAGTTTTTTTTTTCCTCTCCTGTTTTCTATCAGCGGAATTGCTAAAATAAAATAAATCGTTTAATTTAAAGGTGGAATACTTCATTATATAAAATAAAGTTTTACATGTGAATCTATGTGTTTTTATGTTTTATACAGCAATAGGGTCTTGGTTAGCTATCACACTGGACAACCTTGCTTGCAAGTCTTCTGGCGTGGAGAAGCGGTTTGCCGGGTTAGTCCTGCTCTCAGCCAGCCGGAAGGCAGTGGCCGGCTCCAGACCGGTGGCCCCGGGGTTCGGTATGCTCAGGAACGGTGTATCCTCGCCTATTCTCTCATCTTCGGTTTCGGTCTCAGAGCTGCTGCTCTCAGAGCTCGTGTCGGAGTCCACTTCCACTCTGCTGGAAATGTGGCCGTTGGGCTTTGTTCTTTTGACCCTCCGGCTGTTGGTGAGTTTCTTTGGAGGCTCCTGTGCTGGTTCGTACTCCTGCGTGGTCTCGTACTCCTCATCCTCCACTATCCGCAGAGGACTCGGTGGCAGGCTGTTGCTCTCGTGGGTGGCATTGTGGTGAAAGGAGTTGAATTGCTGAAGGTGGTGGTCATACTTCTCATGTAGCTGCAGTGGGGTCACCAGGAGCAGTGGTCGCTCCTCTTCTATGAAGGGACTCACCGCCACTGAAGGGATGGAGACGGTCAAGCTGGAAGCCGGTGGTGACATTGTGGAAGGGCGGGACTTGGGAGAAGTTGGAGTGTGAAAATCGACGGGTGACATGCGAGCTGGTGTGGTCATAGCTGAGACATACCTGAAGAAAAGAGATGGGGAAAGGTTGCAAGCACAGGAGCAGTGGTGACCTGTGAACACAGCAGCTCGTGGACTGGGAGAGAAGCAGCAAGGATCCCTTAAGATCCCCAGCATCCTTACATAGGGCTACCAGGGAAACTTTCCTGTTGCTATTAATCCTACAAACTGCTGACTTCTGGGACGCCAGACAAAAACATTTAAGAGCAGGAGGAGCACAGCAAAGCCCCCAGATCTGTTTGCCTGACAAGAGCCATGGAGATGCTGTAAATTATTTGCCAGAATAACTTTCTGGAATTAATCCAGGAATGGGATTCAGAGACAGAGGGGCTGCCAGAAACAAAATGCATTTGCAAGTATTTTCTCAAAAGGGAAAAAGGCTTCTGCACTTCTGGAAGGATTTGACCAGAAGTTGGGGTGCATGTGAACAGACAGGAGGAGAGAAAGGAAGGGAATCAAAGGGCAGTCCTCTTGGGGCTTCATCCTCTTCTGGCAACCAGATTGTCTCAGGCTAAGGAGGAAAGGAGGAAAGTAATGTTTGGATAAAATCTAGAGCCAGATTCTTCTACTTTTAATCAATGGGGGCAGTCAGAGAAGTATTTGCAGCACCACCCCAGCAGCTTTGTGCTGCTCCACTGCTTGGGTGCTTGTTACCTTGGCTGGTAGGTCTGTTTGCAAAGAAATATGGAGTATCATTTGTCCTCCTTTGGGAACAAATGCTAAAAGACAGGATTGTCCAGCCTAGTCTTCATGATATCTCTGCAAAATTTGTCCCTGTTCCTTTGGGAAGGGTAGTAGTCAAAAGTGATTTCTGAAAATGAAGCTTAGGTGCCATTTCAGAGTCTGTCCCAAAGAAAGAGGACAAAAATTGTGAGACTCTCAACTGGTTTGGATCAGTAACGATGCTGGTGGGGTCATGTGTATTCATGACAGGTGAGGATCTGCCTGAAACCCCTTGATGGAATGCACAGTTCCCAGCATGAAACTTTGCATAGTTTGGTTTTGCTTTTATTCTTATTCTAAATTCACCTGTTTGAATTTAAGCTGTGTCCAAAGCTAAAATCTTAAGCTCCATCTCTTACCCAGGCCCATTGAGAAAAGTTATGTCTATGATTGATGTAGTTATTTAATTTTTCATCAGTGATTTATTTATCTGAGCCTGAAATTACCAAAATACATCTGAATCCAGCTTTCTTATCCAAATTATGACTCAGTTGCACATATTACGCTTGATTAGAACACAGTTATTGGAAAAAAGAGAAAATGGGACAGATTCTGAACAGATGTGTAGTAGAGTAAATTAAATGCACCAGAGGCACATTGAGGAACAGGAGAAAGAACTGAACTGAGGAACAGGAGAAAGAAAAACAAAACTGAAATTATGCATGGGAATTAACCAAGTTGGTTGGGTAAAGGACAATTAATAGGTCTGTGCATTGGAGGAATTAAGTAATTATTTCTCCTTCCATGAGTGAGCTTTTCATCTCTTTCACATTTTTAAATAGGCATTGTCTGAAAAAACCAAAGCCTTTCTACTTCACCACCTGGTACAGTGTTGGATATACATCTTCATGACACACTGGATTTTAGCTAAACTGGTTCTGTTAACGCATTAGGTTAGTTAAATGTGTTCAACATACTGTGCACGCTTCCAGCAGCGTCAAGTTACTCCTGCTGGAGTGTTTGTGCATTCACACATTGCTGGTGTGTTCCCCCCACGCCGTAACAGGGCAGTGCTAACTAGCTGCTGTCTGCAATCTGAGGCACAGGAACTGAAGCTGTGCAGCTCTAGCCCATCCTGAAAAGAAGGTTAAAAGGTGATTGATTTATCCAGCTTCATGGTCAACTATGCTGGCTCAGTGAAAGGGGATCAGAGTGTATCCACATCCATCCAACAAGCATTAACTAGTTATATGCTGCCAACTTCATCGTATAGTCCAGCCTTTTGCGCAGAGATAGTGTTTTTTGATCTTCTCTTCTGTAAGACAGCTAAGGACATCCAAAATAAAACTCCTTGGGTTCTCTGCTTTTCTAAACAGGTGGCAGGGCATGGGATCCAACAAAGGGATGGGGCAATGCAAAAGAACCCCTCATAATGTCCATTCTATCTCATTTCAAAATTGTGAGGTATCTGGTGGAGGAGCACAGCCTTGATCTACCAATTCACACCATATTTGATGGCTTCGGGAAGTAATTCTTCAGCTCTCACATTCCTTTATGTTTCAGAGTAATCTTTAGTTGCAAGTAACTCTCATTCTCCCCCTTAAATACACACACATACATGCAATCCACCTAGAGAGCAATTGGCCATGTATTTCCTGCTTGCTAAAAATAGATCGGGCCTGCAATTAATGCCCAGGGAACTATCATCTCCTGCATTCCAAATTCTCGATCGCTTCAGGCACAAGCTAGGCTGTCAATGCCTGATGAATTATCCAGAAATGTTGCTGCTTTTCACTTGTAGCACAACCTTCAGGAGACACAATAATTGATGAAATGCCCTCTTTCTTCTCAGCAAAACAAAAAGGAATATGCTGCTCCCCACCCTCCCCCCCCAGAAAAAAAATTAAACCTAAACAGTTCATATCAGAATGATGCTCTGGGTGTCCCAGGCAGTGCCAGGAGACAGCATGAAAGATCTTCACTTCTCACATGCAGATGCCCAAATATACTAAGCTACAATACTCGCCACTGGCAGGTGTGTGCCCGAGCATCCTGTACAGTTCCCAGGCTGGAGACAATGTGGTATTTACTGCTACAGGTCCTGATCCAGCAAAGCACTTAAGCACACGCTGAGCTCTACCCGTGTGAGCAATCTCACTGACTTTAATGGAGCTACTTGCACGATTAAAAGTTAATCTTGTCGAAGTGCTCTTCTGGACTGGGGCCACGGCTGTTTGTGTCATGTGAGCCATCTATCTTGAAATTAAATTCCATGGTAAATAAAGGATAAGTTATAAGGAGAGAGCTAGTTTACTACCCTTCGTGGCACTACACACAGGGTCCTTGCTCAGTGGGCCCTCTCCCTGCTGCTAAGCAGTTTTTTGTATGGCAGAGGAAGTACCACTGAAATGGTTTTTGCTGCACTTGCACATTCATTTTTCCAGAAACCACAGTTTGCCTCCTGCACAACTCAGTCTCCTTGGGAATTGCCTGGCTGCATTTTTGACATCATGGACATCCCACAAGATCAAATTCCTTGTGACTTCGAAGTGCTCAGAGAATTGGTCCAGTAACCCTCTGTTTCCCTTTTCTTCTGCCTATGATTCCTGGGAGCAAAACCCTCTTTAAATGTCTTGTTTTTTCTCAGTCTTTCTTTTGCTATTCTGAGGCCATCACATGCTCCTGAGGCAAAGTGTTAGCCTAAACCGAAGATGAATTTTTTCAGTAGAAGTTGTCTTGCAACTCATGCACCTCAAGGCAGACCTCAGGAACTGATGAACCAGCCTTTTCAGAGAAAAAATTACTTTGTTGGAAAACTCCCAGCTAGCTTTATTTCTAACTACTCCTCATTTAATAATGACTTGGGTCCTTCTGGCTTGCACTTTGTGTTCCTCGCTTTTGTTTAATAAAAGGTCAAAGGGAATTTTTAAAGAAGATAAAAGGTTTAGGAGCTGAAATCCTCCAGAAAGGAGGTGGTAGCATAATATCTAATACTGCTTAGGAGTCCTTAGTGCCTTCCTCCTCTGGATCAATACATTGCTTTTTCCCTACAAAATCCCTCAGTTTCCTTATTTGCATCTTCTAACAAAAGGATAATTAAGCAAAGATGTGGAAATTTCTGACTAGTTACTCCAATGGAGCTTTTCCGAGTGTGAACTGCTGGCTAATAGGAATAAATCCAGCAGAGGCAAGAAGGGAAGAAATGCTTTTAGTAGACTTCAAACTACTATTAGGCCCTCCACAAATGAGGAGGCGTGTGCCCTACACGAACAGCTGCACTGTTGGGTTTCCTCCGGTGCTCCCAAGCTTTGAAACCATTTGGGAACACCAGGCCTTCCCGGCTGAAAGCGAAGCGGTGGTGCGTCCTACCTTTCACTGTGAGGAGAGTCTCGGTAGGAGTCAGGGGTCTCTCTCGCATGCCGGAGGAAGCTGTTGCCTTCCCGTGGGCCGCCGATGCCGTTGAGGCGGCCCCGGGGCCCCGCTGGGCTGGCGTGCCGGCTGTTCTCCATGGAGGAGCTGACGAGCACCGAGTGGCTTTCAGAGAGGATGCTTTCAGTGTGGCCATTGCTCCAGCTGGAGAGCAGCAACCAGGAAAAGAGAAAGGGAGAGCATAAGTTTGGGCTTTACTGGCAGAGGCATATGAGCAGAAGTTTAGCCAGGGAATAGGAAGTGGCTCTGTTGCCGCTCAGGACGTACAGCCTTTGGGTTGGCAACCGGGGCGGCAGAGTTTTGTGAATTGTATGGATCCACATGCATCAAGATGATTTTGCATGTATGGATAAAAGGAGAGGGAAGGAGGGCTTTCCAGTCATCACAGCTGTCACTGATTTAGCAATTTGCACATACTAAAATTCAAAGTGACAGTATTGGAATGCCATTCAGATGGCTCTTTGTAGATTCATGGGAAGATAATTAGTTAGGTGATATGACATAAAATATTGGTAGTCTTAAAATGAAAACACCATGGAGGGAACATAGATTCTCCCCAGTTTGTTGTTTCACACATCTTTTTGGTTTTGTAACAGCAATAGATAATCTATTAAGGGTGCCATTTGCCTTCCCCCTCCAATACCTGTGGCTAGGTGTCTGGGTGACTGTCACGGAGTGGTGTGTTGTTGAGGTGTAGTGGCTCGTAGAAAATGAGGTCTCTGTTTCTCGCTCGATGACATGCTCACTGGAGATTACATTTTTCGAAACGTACTGCTGAAAAAACCCAGACAAACCTCAGGTTTACAAACTGTAATTCACAGCACATTTGTAGACACAATTTCCAATCCCTTCTCCCCACACTGCAGTCTTTTACATGTGCCAAAGCACAAATTTCGTTATGTAAATACATGCAGAAACCATACTGACACACTTGAGCAGTTCATGTACACCTCTGCATACATACCCCATCTAGACTCAAAGTAGGAGGAGATAAATGAGGAAAGTAGCAAAGTTTTGCATTCCAATGAAGCTATAAACAACATATGTATTTAACAAGATGTCCTCACAGACAGAGACCTGGAAAGGCAACCCCCCCAACCATCAGATACACCAAAACCACTATTCTCTGATGAAGAATTTGGCACTAGTTAGTGGCAGTAGTTTCTCCACCTGGGTGGAGAAAGCCAAGAGAAATGAGTCACCAGCCTGCAGCAGGCGGAGGTTTAAAAGCTGTGGGGTGAGCTTTCCTGAGGCACTGGCAGCCTAGGTTGAAACGTGGGCAGTGAAACCTACATTCACCAGCTGGACGTTGTCCGGCGGTGGGTTGGGGTGGTGCGGCCCGTTGGCCATGTTCATCACATTGTTCCTCTCCGAGCGCAGGCTCTGCCGGAGGCGGTCGTGCAACTTCTTCCTCTGCTTCCTGCGCGCGAAACACGGAAACGATTTTAATGGACAGAAGGAAAGCAGCTGCACCTTTCAGCACATCGATGTTGATGATAATAACGTAACACCACTTTTTTTTTTTGCCAGAGTTTCCCCGCGCTGCTGCAAGAGCCCGGGGTAATTCTGAAGACTGCGGGTCTAATTGCAGCTGGAGCTGTGGGGACCTGCAGAGGGGGGAGGAAGTTTGGGATCCCTTCCAGGAGTCAGCAGGCCACAGGGGGATGGGAAAAAGTGTGAGGAAAATGGAAGCCATTTCTAAGCAATGCTCTGTCTCAGGAGAAGGGCTTTTCTCTCCTCAGAAGGGACCGGAGAGAGATTTTAACCCAGTGACCACGATGCCCTCACAAAGGCCCAGGCAAGGTTTTTGAAGTCCATTGGGTTACACCACTCTGTTCACCACAGGGAGCCGAGGTGGCTGTGTCTCAGGCCTTGCTTGCAGACACTGGAAAATGATCTTTGTGACATGGCAGTTACATGTTTTTTCAGTGAGATTCATCTCCTATCTCAGCAGTGCACTTCAAATTCATAAGCGTGTTAAAGAAGTGAAGGGTGCAGAGGAAGCTTCAGAAATCCCAAGTAATTGACTACGTGAGGTATGCCTGAGCCTGCAGACTTCCTGGCAGCTTTGGAAGGTTTCGTTTTAGCAACATCAGGTTCACTCTGGAACCTAATGATTAACAGGTGGATGCCATGGCTGCTAATGCATTTAGTAGAACCACCCATGTACTGATGAGTGACATGGTCTCTGGCTGACTTTGATGCTTCTACTTTGTCCCGTCCTCAGCTACTCTTTCCCCACTTGTTATTAACATATAAGTCATACAAGGAGTGGCTGAGGGAGTTGGAGTTGTTTATTCTGGAGAAAAGAGAGACTCAGGGGTGACCTTATCACTCTCTACAACTACCTGAATGGAGGTTTTAGCAAGGTGGGGTTGATCTCTTCTTCCAGGCAACTAGTGACAGGACAAAAGGAAATGGCCTTAAGCTGCACCAAGGGCAGTTCAGGTTGGACATGAGGAGAAATTTCTTCATAGAAAGGGTTGTTAAGTATTGAAATAGACTGCCCAGGGAGGTGGTGGAGTCACCATTCCTGGAGGTATTCAAGAAACGATTGGATACGGCACTTAGTGCTACGGTCTAGCTGATGTGGGGGTGATCAGTCAAAGGTTGGAGTCCATGATCTCAGAGGTCTTTTCCAACTTAAATAATTCTGTGATTCTGTAATCCTTCCGTCTCTCCTCAGAAGAACTTTTCAGGAGATCATTACAAGCTGTCAGCAACAAAACTTACAGCACAGTAAAACCTGGCGCTGTGAAGGCTATGCAGAACACACTAAACAGTACACCAAAATGAACACCTAGAGAAATAGCTACTCAATTTTAAACTTAATTTATCAATATTCCCCAGTTTTGTCTGATTATACTGGAGAACTTCCACCATACTACCACAGAATCTGTGGAAATGAAGGGAGGATGCAGGCTCCAACACACGGTGGAGTACGTGTGACCTTGGTTGTGACAAAAGCAAAAATACATACAATTCCCTAAGCTGTAAGCAGAATGCAGACAGTGTTGGCAGGGTAGGACAATATAAGATATAACAATTTTCAATCGTGTTGTGAACTCAAGGGGACTACTCTAAGCTTTATGAAAAGGAGAGGTGAAGGAAAAACAATAAATATGTTGAAGCTTGATAGCCAGGAAAGCTTAAAGAGAATGAAAACATTACTTGACACACAGAGCATTTTACATATTTTCTCTGTGTGTATGTGCTTGGACAGTGGAAAATGCTTAATTTATATTGCACCACATGAATAGCATGAGCTGAGATGGCTACTTCAGAAATGCTCCTGTCTCAGAAGGATACAGTCCCAGATCCATATGGACTTTCTCCTTTGAGGATAACCAGGCATCATCTTAGGACACATAAGTGGTTAAGGTGGATGGAGAGTGCAGTGCCAGGAAACATTTGAGCAGCTGCCTGAAGACCTGACTAGGCTGAAAGGTGACGCTTGAGCAAGGGTTTAACTTGATTTCATGGCTCCCTGAGACCCTGGAGACCTTGGGAGCTGAGGACAACCTGAATTTTTTGAGATGGTAGAGAAAGTAGGTTCTTGAAGGAGTTTATCATCTGCAGGACTGAGATCCTGGCACATATAGCCTGGGAATCTGTCGTTAGCAAACCACGTTACTTCCCAGGTATTTGCATTTGCACGCTTCCATCTGTGCTGTTTGTCCTCTAGGAAAGGGACACTGACTAAAAAAAGAAATTACTCCGCAAAGCTGAGAGAAAAGACTAATGCAAAAGCTAGTGTGTATTTCACTTATTTTAAGAAGCTTTTCCCTTAATGTAAATGACCTGAAAATAAAGTGCCACTGAATTAAGACTCAGTGTCTGAAGATATTGCCTTAGCAATTGACCAGCAGTATCTCTTGTGAAGAGACCAACAAAGTCTGAGCCATTACATTTTATTAATACTGCTCTCCTAACACCATTCCCAGGATTACTCCTGGTTTCTGGGTTTTCCCCTATTTGGAGAAAAGAGCATGAGGAAATCACCTGACAGATAGCTGTCTGGCGTCACTGCTGCATTTGGAGGGCCATGAACTGGCATGGTGCTCTCATCAGCTGTGTTGGAAAACATTTAACTTTTGGCTTGTGGTGATTGCTAATGTCTGGGGCAGACAAAACATCCAGACCCTTGATGGGTTCTGGGGGCTCTTTATATAGAAAATTCTACTTCAAACATGCTGACTATGTTTGTTGAAATTCATGGAGATGCCTTGGCTGATTTCAAAGAACTCTGAATCAGGAAATATACTATTTAGCTGCTGAGCCTTGCCAGTTGCCATTTCTGAAAGCAGTAATTGATCTGATTATTTTATAACTGTTTCAATTGTTCTTCACTGACCACTGGCACCAGGTTATGGGTGGGAGCAGCTCTATGTGTGTGTGTGTGTGTTTGTGTGTGTGTGACTCTCACTGAGGGGGAAAAATGATCTCTCTCCTCCCCCACATTTAACACATCCATTATTGGTGGGGCCTGTAACAAAAAACAACAACCCAACTGCCAATCAGACCCTGAAACAGTAAATCAGGTTTATAGAAATGTGGAATATTTATGATAAGGGTTTTCTGTATTTTGGCGGGGAGATTTATAAGAGCAGCCAGAAGTTCTGGCAGCAGAAATTCTACTGATGTTCCGTGTAATTTATGGTCCAGGGTGCCTCATGCATGTTTGAGAGTCACCCCCAGTAATTTAGAGACTCACAGAATGCATTTAAGTGCCTACTTTTGCATTGAGAGCACTTTTGTGTTCATTTTTTTGGCCTTTGGTGCATAGTAACTTTTAGCACCATTAATCTTGTCTCAAGTACAAACAAACTAGGCTGATATGTAAAATTTACTGCTGGGCAGCAACATGATTCCAGTTTTGGAGTTTGTCCCTTTTCAGTTGGGGAAACTGGCTCGAATGGGTGATAGGGAAAAAACCCCCAAAAAGCAGAAAAACAAACCAAAACAAAAACCCCAAAGCCTCTTAGAAACCTTTCAGATATCTGCCTTATTTTTGCACTGCTGATGGACATGGAGACCTGCACTCATCTGGCTTGGACCAGAGCGCCCTGGCTATAAGTTTGTCTCTTCAAGTCAGCTCTGGAGAAACCCAGACAAAACCTTATGTTCAGAGGAATATAAGCTACAGTCAACTGGGAAGGCCCTGACCAACAACCAAAGGTATAAAATAGAAAAGTTTACTTGGTTTTGCAGTAGGCCACCACACACATGATGCCAACTACTAGAAGAGCAATGCAAATGCCAGTTATGGTCAGCACCCGTTTCTGGTACAATTCCTCAGCTTCTAGAAAGGGACAAAAAAAGAGAAAGTCACGACATGGAGGGTGGCTAGGCAAGGAGCACATCATCAACAGCTGGCATGCTACAAACCACTCCACGAATTCACACAGCCACACAGACACGGCCACCACACTTCAGGCAGACTCTTTATTAACTGCAAGGAAAACAGGGCTACACCACAAACTCTTAACACAATAGTGGAGATGAGTACAATTACAATCAAAAGTCAGTCTGGTTTTTTTTCGTTTGGTTGGTTGTTGTTTTGTTTTGGTTTTTTGTTTGTTTGTATTTTTTTTGCTTTTTTTTGTTTCTTTTTTTTTGTTGTTTAAGTCAACAAGAATAATATCTAAGCAACAACTTCACAACTGACAAACACTCAGCGATTGCTGGAAATAAAAATTCAATGTGCTAAGGTAATAACATGAATTTGCAAATGTTTTGGAAGTTTCACTCTGCAAAGACAGCTGGAATGAAAACCAATTTTACAGGTCTTAAGAGAAACTTATTTTTTTATTATCTTTTTTGGATTGTTTTCATATCCAATGTCCCTCTGCTCCCATGTCAATTTGTATCTCAGCTGTCTTTACAGGAGAGATTTCAAAATATTCTTCTACATTTGAGACATGAGCTTGGCTTGTAATTATATCACCAATGGAAATGAAGATATGTTTTGAGCTCTGGTCATAAAATTCAGAGTCTTCCTCCAGTGCTCTCCTAAAACACAGCAATATCAACAACCAGCAGTGCCTTGTATGAGAGAAATGTTGAATTTCTACTTGCATCTCTTTGTGACCAACAAAGGAACTCTCTATCTGGGGTGGCAGCTTGCTCAGTGATGACAACTTCTTACCGATCTCGTTCACCGGAGATATTTCAGTATTACAAAGGTGTTAGTAGCACTGGTAATGTTTGGGTTGGAGCTACTGATGCTTTCCAATCTCGCTCATGCTTGGCAGAGAGCACTGCTGAGTGCTCTGCTGGGGAAACGTTATGCAGGGAGTGCTGAAACAGAGGCGCATTCTGTGCTGACGCTTTACAGATGTGGATTTGCATTCCCGCTTTTAGGACAAAAATGGATGTCTAGTTTTACTCAAGTCTTATTTTTGGTTAAGCAGACAGTCTGATAATGACCTGCAGTATTGACCACAGTTGGAGTACCAGCAGGTGATTAAAAATAAATGAATGAATTAGAGCTGCACAGCTTTGTGCTACCTTTGGGATAAAAGCCAGCGTTATTCCTGCTGGAAGGGGCTTACATGAACATATAAGGTCTGTGGAGCAATTCACCAGGAGGTACAGAAATGCACAATGGTCCCTCACATGTGCCACGTGTCTCTGTCCAAATGATGTGCTGTCATAAATGACGCACCAGTTCAGGGAAAAATACTCCTTGCTGAAGAGGCATCAGTCTTCCCTTCAAGGTGTTTCCTGAGCTTGACAGGTTTAGTTTTAAAGTTGCTGTGCGCAAGTGGCAAATACTCCACGCAACAAACCGAAAAGCAAAAAGAAATCTTAATTTCTCTGATACAATGCACGGCACCATGGAACAAATTTTTCCTACAAGCCAAACCCACTGCAAACCAAAACACCGGCAAACAGGTCATGAGCACTGTCAGACAAAATTAATAGCTCTAATTATTAACAAGGAGGGGAATGGGGGGAGAAGAAGTGAGTTTGGTAAAACTAGAATGCTGCAAAAATGTATTAAAGAAAAAAAATAACTCCAAGAACAGAAAGTCAAAAAAGGGAAGGAAGAAAGGGCTGAAACTCCAACCAAACCAAACCAGGACAAAGAGAAAGAGAGGAAGGTGAAATAAAGGGAAAGACAAGATTAAAGGGTTGAAAAGTCAACTGCAGGCCTGGCACAACATGCTTGATACTGGAAAAAAACAGAGAGAAGAAATGCTTAGGGACAAAAAAAAAAAAAGGTTGAAGCAGAGTGTGAAGGGATTTCTCATACAGCATAACTCCTCGCCTAGTTAGTGGCACTTGATCCCCTTCCCACTTTTGCCCCTTCTGAAAGCGCTTATTAGTTAGCCATGGAAATGGTGTATTACGAGGATGTCACAGGAAACAGGAGAATTGTGCTAAGCAATTTAGGGGCTACTTTGAAAAGCTTTGAATATTTTTTTTTATTTTTTTTTTTTAACTGTCATGCCGTCAGCTGTTAGCTTGTGGAAGCAAAATGAGTAATGACATATCAACCTGTTTTTCTTGGAGGGGAAGGGAGAGGAGGAAGAAGATTAATTAACAGCGGAAACTCTGCTTGGTTGTTTATACTCGGGGAAAAATTGCACTGGCTCCAGGAGGTTTGCTCTGGTGTGAGGCTGTTGCAAACGAGCTGGGATGCTGGCTGGTGATGGCCTGGCTGAGGTCATCAGTTGTTACTTGTGTGTTGGACACTTGTGGGCACTCATCCCACTGCAGGGGAGGGGGGATGCAGCAATGCTCCTTGCACCAGCATGTCTGCTGGGACTGCAGGTCTTGAGGGGCATGGAAAATTAAACCCCCAAGTCTGCTTTCAATGCCTCAGTTCCCTCCTGTGCCCCTAAAAACGAGGCTCTACGGACAATCCGGCTTGATGTGGTGTGTGGGAATGGTGGTGCTGCCATGCCCTCCCCCAAAATCTGTGGGGGAATGTCCGCCTGGGAAGGCACGTGCTTCTGGGCATGCCATACTCATCAAACCAGCAAGCTCTCATATAACCCTGGCTGTGTTTCTGGCTGACAGGGGACAGCAGGGCCCAACTAGGGGTTGTCCTGCTGTCCTTCAGGGGCCAATTTGCACTACAGGGGATGCTGGTGGCTGGGAGGGGACAGGGATTCTGGTCACGACTCTGCAGATGGCATGGCGCCCTGAAGACAAGCCTTGGACTCTGTTTCAGGCCAGAAGAATTTTGCAAAGCAGGGACTGAACTCATGTGGGGCACTTAAGGTTATACTACATCTTGCCCCGAAACTGGCTTCTCTCTCTGACCAGTATTAATATTTACGTTATTAAATATTAATAATGATGCTCAGCTAAGTAACATGTGCTGATCAAACTACCCTGAAAAAAACTAACAGCAGCCTTGCAAGGAAGTCTGTAAAGAATTGTATGTGCAGTGAAAATTTAGAAAAGGCTTTAGCCTGTTAATTATTAAAACTAATTTCAATACATTTTTTCCCATACAGAATGCTAGGGAAATCAAATCAACTTAAGACTAAAGTCAAGATATTAAATCCCTCTATGTGCAGTTTTTCAAACATGCGCATTATGCAATTAATTTCACATCATTTTAATTTATACATAATTGGTTTAAATTTAATTTATACATAATTTAAGACAATATGGTCTTAAATTTACTCTGTTGTCAAGTTTTTCTTCTTACAGATCTCTGGGGATTTTTAAAATAATTTAATTCCAAGAGGTGGTTGCACTGATTGTTTCTTATACAAAACAAAATTTGCAAGTCAGTTTTTAAAAGGATTTTAATTTAACTACTCAAGCATTTATGTAGCCATGTATCTTCTACTACAATCTATTACTTATGACTGAGAATTAATATTACCTTGTGATAATAACAAAAATAACCTGGATTGTGAGTGGTTTTTTTAAATTAGGACTTGTAATGGGTTTTCCACAGTTCACAGCTTAAGCTAATGACATTTTGTGGGGGCATTTTTAATAAGAACATGAACTAAAACTGTGTGAAAACCATCACCATCTGTTTTTTCTCATTTGCAGACAATTATAGGAAATTCCAAACTAAAAGTGACCTGAATTTCAAGTTAACCTATTCAAGAGATGCGTTATTTGTACCTCTGAATATGAATAGCTAGTCAGATAAGTACAGTCTACTCGTGAAGAGGACTTTAAAAATCTATTTCTATTATATTTAAAGCTGAGATGTAAAAATACAGTGCCAATGTTCTTGGTTGGATGCAATATGAGTATAGTATTAGAAATATTGAATATATTTGCTGACTTGAGGATCCGGAGTCTAGTCTACTTAAATTCCTGAATAACTTCCAGTCCACTTCTAATTTACAGACCTGGAAATGAATGTAACATATGCATATAATTTACACATATGTATAGGCAACTGATTTGCACACCTAGATGTGGTTTTAGACACGAAACTTTGCTTGGAAACCAGAGCTCAAAACTGCACATTTGCAGAATTTTAAGTGGCCATAACAGTTTATCTTTTTTAATATACTGGTTAGTCATTTTGCTTAATGATTATAGTGTTTTCAAAACCTGCCAACCTTAGAAGAACTCAGCAAAGAAAATGTCAAAACTGTACAGCAGAGAAAGGAAACACTATGTTATGATTACTTCAGTAATTCCTAGAATTCCTTAGGTCTGCTATATCCTGTCACTATCACCATTTTAGTGAACTGATCTCCACTAACACTTTGACAAGGGTTGTTGTTATAGCTGTATGATCCCTTCTAAAGCATAAAGAAATTGGTTAAGAACTGAAAAGGGGAGGTGGAGAAAAAAAATAAAAAGGGGTTTATCTCTCAGGGTCTAGAATCTGCAGGCTAAAAGGAATGATTGGTCCATACCCATAAATTCAATCCCAAGATGCTCTGCCAATGCAGAAAGTTGTCAAAAAAAAGAAAGAAAAAGGAAAAAGTTTCAGAAAAGAGCAATACACTGTACTCAAAAATAAATCACATATGAGAATTATGACTATTCTGTGTCTGCATATGAAACAGGACAAAGGGGCGCCCGGTTACGGGGGCAGTGCTCGCGTATGCCTTTCTAAACTACGTGACCAGACCTGCTGAAAGTCTTATACACAAAAATATGTATGTATGGGGGATCTGAGCAGCCACAGGAACCATTAACCCTTAAAGATGTTGCTGAGATGAGAGGGGCTATGGCCTGAGGATGCCAAGTGCAGTGGCTGATTGGTTCCAGGTGGGACTTTGAAAGCAAAAGGATGCTTTACAAAGGGCAGTGTCCCCCTGCAAATGGGTTGTGCATCACTCCCCCTTCTGGACCTGCTTCTATCCCCAGAATGCATACGCTTGCTCTTGTAGGTTGTGACCTGGAGGTGGCTGGCACTGTTTGCTCAGCACTGGGAGTCCTTCTCTGCTTTGCAGATTGGCTGATGCAGGGCTCTGGCTTCTGGAAAACGAGAAACCCAGCCCATTTTTCCCTTTTCCCTATCTTTGAGCTGTGCTGCCTTGGCAGAACAACTTGTTGGCCAGCTGGATGGACCCTGGGGTGCATGGCCTGATGCTCCTTACGCAGATCACATGCCTAAATCAGCACCCCCAGGCTCCCAGTAGCTGGAGGTAAGGAGGAACACAGGTTTTCCTCACAGCAGGTAACCCTTCCCGCGGGGCCAACACCATAGCCATGGTAGCCCTTGCCATTTTTTGTTCTTGTGTGCTGTGAAATTTAAATCCAATCCTAATTTTCTCACCAAATAGATTTTTTTTATTGTAGTTTGCACACATGGAGAATGCAAATTCTTTGTTGCCAATCAGTAACATTTTAAGGGTTAAGTAAACTGGAATCCATCCAGGTCTCTTCCTAAAGAGCCAGTATTACATGCCTACCTGAACTCTGCTAATGATATACATTAGTTGCATAGAAAGCTTGGTTAAATCTTCAACAAAACGAATGACATGCCCATGCATATACATTGCTGTAATTATGCTTGCTTATAGGTAAGACACCTAGCTTGAAGGTGATTTAATTTTAGGGGAAGTAATTCATATCATGCAGTTTCTACTTCAAATAATTCAATAAGAAGTTGGTACTTAAAATGGGAATATGTTCTGGCTGAAAAACCTAACAAAAAACATGCTGAAAAAACATGCACTGTTTATTCAAACCTACATGTTATGTAGCTCTTACTTGTCTATGGTACTCCTAGGTACATTCCCTAGACCTGATCAAAAGAAAGCAGAATATCCCAACGCTTCTCATTTTATAAACAGACTATTATTTTTGATATTTTCCTATTTAACCCAATTATTGTTGCATAGTTTTTGCATGCAATGTGGTTTCTATTGAATATTTGTCTAGGTGCTCTAAGAATAAATTCAATTAGTTATTTTTAACAGCTCAGTTTTCATTCTGGATGTGACTTGAGGAGGGACATGATAGTATTGGAGGAAAAAATAGGAAGCAAAGTTATTTAAAACTACAACTGCTGAGGCACAGTGTCTACAGGATAAGAGGATGGTGCCTGGCAATGTGGAACAAATCCTCCAGAACTGCATGCTCCGTCCTTGAGTGGTGTGCCAGAGCTACTGGGCACCCAAGGCTTTGGGGTGGCTACTCAACAGATCTAGGTGGGTGGGTAGCCTGGAGATACTGTGAGGGGTGAGGACTACCTCAGTTTTTTCGTAGAGATCTCGCACCTGACAAAGGAAGGACACATTCGGATCAACTGCAACAGCAGAGATGTCCAGGGAGACCCATTTCAGCTCTGAAGCAGCAAGGCGTCATGTTTCTAAAGTATTGTTTAGTTTTCTTATTAAATGTGTTCTGTGGGTAATGAGAAATTTAAAAAGAAATTCCTTTTCATGTAATTTGATTTGGAAACGAACTAAAATCCCCTAAGCTATCACAGAACAGAACCTCTAAATGTCAGACAATTCTGCTTGAGGGATCAGGATACAGTCTCTTTGTGACATTTAGGATCCACTTTGTATTAAAAATTTTGATTCATTTCAGTGGTTCTCAGGCTGCAAAACAGGTTTTGAACTTTGAAGGCCTATGGCTCCCGTAAAAGTGTTATCCTACAACTGGTTTGAGTCTTAGAAGAATGGAAAATCTGCTCTTTCCTAATTCCTATCATAGCAATTTTAGTATTTAATTAACATTTATTGAGTAGTTTATAATGAAAAACTGTCTTTTTTAACCTTGAGCAGAAGATGCACAATGGCATTTTTCAAATTTGTGTCATTTAGGAGTCTTGGTCTCAGCACATAAAGTGGACAATTTAGGGTGCTGAAGGGCTTTAAAAATGAAAATTTCCAGTAAGATTGTATAATAGCCTCATACAGATGTGAACACTTGAGAAATATATAGAAACTGAGAAATCCTGAGGTAGCAAAACAACTAAAAATGTACTTTTGAAGATCTGTAGTTCATATGAAAAGACTGAAAAATCAAGGCCATCACAGAGTAACTGCAGTTTTGACCACCCTTCTAGGATATCAGAGCTTTCCTCAATTCTTGCCCCCTTTATCACCTCAAACAGATTCATCTTGACCATATGAGCAGGGGCTGTCGTCTAAACAAAAATTTCCCTCTGCCCTTCTTGGTACTGTCCCCCTTGCTCATCAAGGATGGCAGAGCTGAAATGGACACAGTTTAAACTGGTGTCCCATGCTGAGGGAAGGCATGACCCATGTTCAATTCATGCCCAAGAAGGCACAGAGCACGCCCCTCAAGCTGAATTCACTGTTCACTAGCAAAATAAGCAAATCCATTGGCCCTTTGGATGGGATCCTTGGTCTATCTGGGCCATTTGAGAGGACAAAGGGTTTGCCTGTGATTATGCTCTAGAGAAGCTTCCTCAACTGTCTGTTAATTCACAGCTCTGTCACTGTCTCTTATCCCAAGGATCATTCTGCACAGTGTTGTTCCAAGAGTTCTCATGCACAACTACACAAAAATTAGCCAAAACCTTTAATGCTAACTAGTTATTTTTCTTCCATTTGCCTTGATTCCTCGACCTCAAGGGAGTGAATGTGTGAGCATTCAGATACAGTAAAATATATCTGCACGGAACAGATGTGTTTTTGGAACACTCTGAGGACTGCCTTCTGCTGTCTTTAAGGAGCAGTGGTGGACCACGAGCCTCAAAGTTGAAACGGTCACAGCAGAAGGGCAGGGTAGCACCGCCGCCAGCAGCTGTGACTGCTGTGCTCGAGGAAAGGACATTGCAGGGTCTGACAGCGGGCTCCAGAGACTAGTAAAATGCTAGCACGGTTTGTTCTTCAGTTTCCCTTGGACTACAAAGGCGGGAAGCACCAGCTGAAGGGGAAATATATGTATCTGTGGTGCTGGAGGTAACTGTAGCAGTGGGGAATCTCACAGTCGTCACCTCTCAGCAACCACTGGTTGTCCTATGGTTTGGTGTGCTTGCAAAGCTGGGAGCGAGCGTAAACAGTAAGTGTAAACATGTGCTTTCCAGTAGCCTCCCTCATGTCCATTCCCAGTTATGCTCACACTTCCATTGACAGAAAGGAAAGGCATTTCTGTGGAAGAACTTTTCTTAAGTTGGAGAGCTACCTAATCTCCTGTGTCCCTTTTCAACCTATTTCTAGTTCACTATGATAACTGAATTGTCTGGGGCTAACCAAACCACTGCCAAGATAAGCCAGTTAGCCTTGCACTCTGTTGGGACAAAGGGTTTCCAGAATGCTCAGTGGCAGCCTTGTTCTAACCTTGCAAAGACCCTCAGCAAAGCTCATAACTTCAGGACTCTCAAATACCAACTTTAGGGCAGATTTCTGAAGCCAACTTTTCCTCAACAGCCCAATTAAGATAGTAACAGCTCATCAGTAGGCACACTTGGCTTGGAATCCCATTGGCTCTTTCCAAATGAAGAAAGACCCTTCTGAAAGCAAGTAAAATTAGATAGCACTGTATAGTTCACACGTACAATTTTTGTCTCCTACTGGCACTCATGCTGTTTAGCATCCCAGTTTGCTCTGTACTTTGCAAAAGCTGCATCTACAGAGCTAAGTCAATCATCCACAACACTTGGTGCAAAATATGAGCTTGGCTTTATGCCCCAGATGCAACATTTGCCTAAAGAGAACTCTCATTCTAAGCCCCCTCTTAAATGGTATGCTGTGGTCTTCTTTTGTTTTAATAATAAAAAGTATGTAAATGCTTCTTCATTAATTTTTTTTTTTTAAGTATAAATATACTCTCAATGGACGTTTTCCCAAGTGTCATTTCCACATCTCTGGTTGCATAAGAAACCAGGGGTTGTAGTGCAGATGCAGGGTGGGCAGAAGAGCCAGAAGCTCACAGCCATGGACTGGGGCTCTCAGAGTAGCCTAAGGTAGGCAGTGGTGTGCTCTTCTCCAGTGCATTTCAAGGAGAGGAAAGACTGGACCAACTCAAGTACTTGTAACTGAGCATGGCCCTCGCAGCAAGGCAAGGGCATCTATGCCTTTTCCATGGAGGCAACTTGAGAAAATCTCAAACTGGTGTCTTTAAATATCCCAACTGAAAAACTAATGAAGGAAAACCCACCTAAACTCTTCTTTTTTTTTTTTTCTTTTCTTTTTTTCTCTTGGACAGGAAAATGAATTTATAATGAACATGCAACTGTTCTAAAATTTTCAGGGTAAATTCAGCAGCAAAAAATGGATCTCATATTTTTACACCACCTCCTTTTAAATTATTCTTCTAATATCAGAAAAACTTAACTGCACTTTTCACCACAATACACAGGAAAGGTCACTTAAATCTAACATTTGGTAAACAAATACTGTCACAGTATAAAAAATTTTCAAATCCACAGTTACTAAAGGCATTTTAAAAATAACTCACACTAATAAAGCTTTTAAATCAGGGCATAAAATACACACTTGAGTGTTGGAAGGTCTGGTCTCCAGTCATCACTCTTGGGATTTACATGGGTAGCTTCCATGATGGGCAGTATGAATTATATATGGTCCTTTTTCATCCATCAATATACAAGAAAACCTATGCATCTCTTCAGGCTCCAAAATGTCCAGCACATGCTTACAGCTTTTTGTCCTATATACTAATGGAAATTAAATTAGGATAGCCTATAGACTTTCTGTGCTGGCAAGTAATCCATCAAAAAAATTGTTTCTATCATACTGCTCTTAGATCACAGTACATTCTGATGCCAGCAGCAATTAATTGTGCATAGTACACATGCATTAAAATGTAAGATCTAAGCAATTTTCTTATATGTTATCTTCAACTTTGCTATAGCCAGTGATAGAAAGTAAGTATTTAGTGTGCCCTCTCTTTCTTCCCTGACTAATAATAACAATAATAATAATAATAATAATGATAATAATAATAATAACAATAATTAACCCATTTCTTCATGAGAAAACTGATGAATTCTGACACAGAATTCTGACACAAAGTCCTCTCTCTGTTTGTGTGTGTGTTTGGTGTTTTTATTTTGCCAATTAATCTGAAATATTTGATCTCTTGCACCTGTTACCCCCAATAGACCCAAAATGTGTCAGACCCCATTGTTTCAGCCATCTCCCTCTCTTTTCTTTTTGTTTACATGCTCTTTCAACTGAAACTCAGACAATGAGGAGAAAGTACATTTTGATCCTGTTTGGCATGTGCTCATTAGAAACCAAGTAAACACCTCAATAACCTTTAACCTCTAGTTCCAAATGCAAATCTCATATACAAGTAGAGGATTGGCTACCTGTCCCTTTGTTGGGGGAGTGCTGCCCTGTACCATGACTCATTAGCTTTTTGTAGCAAATAAAATGAGAGACTTTGAAACATAATTCTAGTACTTTTTCTGCTTGATGTCAGTGGGGAGTCCATATCACACACCCAGTGTTAATTTCACAGAGTTCCTAAGTCTTGCATTTCCCCATAACCTCAATGCCAAACAATCCAGGAGAGTATTGCAATTGCTTTTTTTGTTACCGTTTTCATGCAACAGGCAGAGACAATCAATATTAGGCCTTAGGCAACAAATCTAGTTACAGATTAAAAAAAACAAAAAAACAAAACAAAAACAAAAACAAAAAAACAAACAAACAAAAAAAAAAAATTGAAAGAAAGATGCAGCGACAAGAAAGCAGCACCAACTGAGCATGCTTCTACTGCGGCACAGACAGAAAAGTAGTGGACGTACTGTAGAAGCTGGCCATTACGTAGTTTTGGCAGCGATCACCAGTAAATTCATTTGGGCACCTGAGAGGAAAAACAAACAAAAAAATGGTAGAGAAAAAAAAACAGAGAAAAGAGAAGAGGTGAATATATGCTAGGAAAGAAGCTCCTTCAGTGTGAACTGATATGACTTGGTGAGTTCACTTTCAGAAACTGAATCTCGGTTTAGCGTGTCAAAATGGCTCAAGACGTTGAGAGCAACTCATTTGCTCTGTGGAAATGTAAAGAAATCCCCCCCTGAATAACCAGCCAAAACCAAACCAATCCAGATCAAAGTGTGTTTCAAGATGTGCGACAGAAATTCACCATTCCAGAGTCCCAAATTGGTATTAGGATGCACTTTCCACAAGGTAGCAAGGACACAAGATCTGTACATCACTCCATGAGTTTGCTCTTTTAGGGTTGCACTTTACAGCAGTCTCCCAAACGAGAAAACTGCCAGTGTGTGCAAAACAAATGCATCTGTGAATGAATGGAAAGATCAAAAATCACACAAATGAGAAACATTTTGGAGGTCAAATAATGCCATGGTGTACAGATTGTACTTTAGAGAATCAGCCATAAATTAGTGAGTAAAGAGGCCAGTTCCAGCTGAACTGTGAAAACACCAAGTACTATTGATTTTGTTGCTGTAGTTGGGGAAGAAAGCAAAGTTCAGATTATTTTAACATACTTTCTTGGTTTTGGATTTTCATGGGCAGAGTTTCAGTACATCTTGCTCCAGTGAATCCAGGTTGGCACCTAAAGGGCAAAAACGTGATAAGCAATAGTACACCAAAACCACTGCACTAACAGACTTACACCTGCTGGTCTATGGAGTGGGAGTGCATTAAGTGACGTCCTGGTTAGGTGTTAGTGAAAAATGATCAGAAAAGAGACAAGAAAGTGTAATCTTTCCAGAAGAAAACACTCTGCAAAATTTACAGCAAAAATCCATCAGAGAAAAAAAATCTAGGAAGTCTTTTTGCTTGTCTGTTTTGAAAAAAAAAAAGAATTATGACTAGCAAAAATGTGTATCGGTTCACTGCTTATTCCACCTCATGAAGGGACCTGATTGAGTTCTTTCTGCTTTCACCAGTCACACAAAATCTGCAAAAATACCATGATTTCCCTATTTCTGTAAGGGCATATTGTGCTTTGTGGTAATTTGCTTCGAGGAGGAGTATTTAATACAACAATCACAGAAAAGCCAAAAATATTCCAAAAAGTGAGAAGACAAACTCAAACCCAAAGTGAAGTACATTCAACATGGCTGACAAATGGAAAAAAAAAGTCAGTCCAGTCACTAAGTAAGATGAGAAGGCAGAAGTGCTCTGAAAAGAAGCCCCATAGCTGTCCGTCCTTTCAGTTCATAAGCTCTTCTGCAGAAAACTTCAGTGCAGCTTTTCCCCTGGTCATAGTGAAGGAGGTTCTCTTCTGTGCTTTGCCTGTCTTTGCTGCTGCTGCCTGCCAATTCTTCCCTCACCTTTATTCTCCATTCTGGGGCAGAGCTCAGGCTCCCAAAATATCACTATAGTCCTACAGACATAGGTGTGAGTGACTGTCCACCACACTAAATACCTACAGATTTCAGTCTTTTTTCTTTCTCCTTCTTCTCTCCAGTGTTACTCAGTATGTAATCTGAAATTACCTGATATCTTCTTTCTTGAACGTGCCTCACTTGTGTTGCTTGTCTTTGTGATGTTCTCCATGAGTTCACCATGGTGCAAGAATCTCTCCCTCTTCCTGCTGCTGATATATGGTGCTAGCCCCTTTTTCAAACTTCTTCATCATTTACTTGCCAGGGGCTGAAGAACCCTCTTATTTGCAAATGTGCATTTTTCAGAACAATCCTCCGTCTCTTATATCCATCTAAGTTTCATGTGTGTTGAAAACTGTCCCAATTTTTTAAATTCTGCTCTTCCACAATTGCCTCTAGCCCTAGCAGATAAGGATACTGCTCTTGCACAAGTGGGACTTTCAGAAAATCCCTTTGGCAGAGGACCAGCATCTGACATAAATGTTAGTATTTTCTTCAAATAAACCATGCAGGAATTATTTTTGAATAATAAAATATATATTTTGACGATCTGCAGATAAGTCTTTTGAGCGTATTATTATTATTTTGCTTATTAAGGAAGGGAGTTTATGTTCTCCAGAGCCAAGGTCACATCTTTTCACAAGTACCCAGTGTGGAGAGATCCCAGTCTCCACAGATACGTTCAGTTGGGAAAAATGCAACAAAGATAACTCTGCTATGAAAAGGTGATATTTCTGGGCATGACAGAAGAATTCTTGCATCTTTGAGAGAAGGCAAAATGCCTTTGATAGAAAGCATTTCCATCTGCGCTACTGAATGAGAGTAAAAATATTTTCCACTATTGTGATCTTGTTAAATAACTGTCCCTGGAAAGCTGGCATTAGCACATGCATGGCTTTCCATTCACAGAGATCTCTACATCTTGCTCGTCAGGCTCAACCCTACACAATCCCAAGGAACACACTGCTGATTAAAAGCCTCAGGCTTTGCTCCTGCCACTGGCCATTGGTGGGTTGCTTCCTCTGTGCTTGTTTTCAGATGTTGGTGCAGCTGTGGAGGTGATGAAAACAACTTGAGCACTGGTGTAGACAAAGCTAAAATCACTTCCAGACCAACCAGGGTCAGCCCTGTTGAGATGGTGCCGAAAACAGCTCAGGTGTGTTTATACTGTCTCTGAAACCATTGTCAGCAAATGGGCTGGAGCACCTGCCCCTGAGAATGGGCCCAGGGTGGGCCATCTGAGAGGAAAGCTGGGACGAGCCGGTCCTCTTATGATGATGTGTGAATGCTAAAGGCATTTTATTGCTCGGATGTGCAGTGCAGCACTGTTTCCAGTTCACAAACAACTTGCAATTCTGTCCTTTTCAAAACACCCTGTCCTACTCGAAGTTTTCAGACTTTATTTCTTGTTGTGCCTTTCTTTTCTGGATCATTATCCATGTTCCATTTTCTTTTACGACACCAGCAATAGTTGAAGTCAAACAACTTGGAACAAAAGGTTTGTGCTGTGAGAGCTTTATAATTTCCCTTCAGCCTTCGAGAAGGCTACTCGGACTATTTATTTATTGTATTAACTGGGTAAACCCATGGTACTGAACCATGTATAATAGAAGAAATGCTTTTTTCCTCTACACACGGTAGCTGCAAAGAGCAGCATTTGCATGCATTCAGTAGATGCATCTCAGAACACCGAATGCATATCACCAAACTGTTTTTCGGCAGGAGAGAAAGGGCTGAATGGATGAGAAACTCACATTTCCACTTCATTTACTGCCTATAAACAAATGCATTTGGGGAGAACATTTTGATTGGTTGTTTTTCATTTTTTTTTTTTTTTGTTGTGTTTCGTTTTTTGTTTTTTATTTTTTTTTTTCCCCATGGGAAAAGAGTAGCCCATTTCATTGCTGAAGTCAGAACCAGTATTTCTATCCCACCTCTTGAAAGAATATCTCTGGAACTTCTCCTTGCACCATTGAAATGAATTTTATCTTTTCACTGGTTTGAATAACCTTCTGCCCATTTCTATTCTAGAAAGGTCTTTACATGAAGACAGATATAGAAAATGGCTATGTCTTTAAAAAGTATGTAATTCACTCTTCTGCTGTTAAGAAAAGCAGCAGCCTACTTCATTGAGAGAGCAGCTTTATTTTCATCCAGTGAAATTCGGATGTAAATTCATTTCTTCAATAACAACAAAAGCACTAGAAAAGATGATATCTGTGAGTAAGAAATCAGTTAGTCAGACTAGCAAGGCCTTCATGGTATGATACTTCAAAAGAACACTTTAAAGTGTTACAGATACTATATTCATACAGATTTTTCTTCAAGTAAGAAGGAAATGCTAGGAATTTTGGTCTTAATTTTGTATTTATTGAAAAAGCTACCTGATCTTTCTGTCTTCAGTGAACCTGGGGACATGTTTCCAATTGAACAGAAATGACTTAGGAATCTCAGTCTCATAGGAAGCCAGTAACATCCAGGCTTCCAAGGTCTATGGCATTTTCAGAATGTGGTTCATGTTCCTGTGAAGCTTCCAAAAGTTTTATACACTAGTTTATTTAAGCAGTCTCAAAGCTTCCTTTTTCATCTGTCCTACTTTGAGACTGTTTTGTTCAGTCTGGGGTCATAATTAAAATACACGTAGGGAACATACATGCTACCATAGATGTAGCTGTACAATGTCTAAGTCTTCACATATTTCTTGAGTATTTCACATGGTTACCGCTTGAAAGCAGGAAATTTTCTTGAAGCTTACATCAGTACCCCTGAGAGCAAGATCAGATCCTGTCTGGATCATTTATTTTTTTTTAATATATAGCAAGATTTTAACAGAAGATGAATGTGATATCTCCCTCTTTTTTTTTTTTTTTTTTTTTTTTTCCTCATAGAATAGGGGATTTACAAAACCAGAGATATCACTTGGAAAATTCCATGGTTGTTTTGAATCTGAGTCATGTTTTTTTGGTTAGGGATAAAACTAATTTAGAATGATATGGCTCATGCTTTAAAAATTTTGTTTTTGCTCTCAACAGATGGACCATATGGAAAAATGTGAACTTGCTACTGAGGCAGAAATATGAAGAGCAAGTACCATATTTCAAGCATTCTGTTTCCACAGGCATGTTCTGGGAGTAGATTTATTTTCTCAGAACAATGAAGGCAATGTGCAGTGATTAGGTACTTATTTTAATTAACACTGGAATGCTAGAATTAAAAGTAGACATCTGTATTTTTAATGAAATAAGAAGAAAACTGTATTTTGTCTTTTCAGTTTCCCAGTACACTCACTTTTAAGTACTCACGCTTTTATTTCTTATGTAGCTGTATTGCGTCCTGTTTTACTACTCAACATAAAGTTTCGGTTCTGGCAAGTGGTAGAGGGCATAGCAAATGGCTCTGCAAAATAGTAATGGCCCTGACTGTTCTCAGGATAAGAATTCTTCTCCACTGCCTTACTGTAAATGAGATTCTCCCTCTCTAACTTTAAAGCTCTGATGCTTTTTCCAAATAGGTCTTGGACCACCCAGGGAGAGGCACATCTGCCAAATCTGGGAATTGCCTTTTCTTTCAGATCCAGTCCCAGAATTAAAGCACCCACTACATTCAAATGTCGCTGATATATAGTACTAAAATAATTAGCCAGTCTATAACATCATCAAAAAACATACGCAGATCTCTGAATTAAAAAAAAAAAAAAAGTCCCCATACCAGTGAAAATGGGACACCTCTGAAACTGGCAAGACAATGTTAATGATTAGCAAGTCTCCCAGATGCTCAGCTCTGCTGCCCTGGAGTTTTCTGAACACGCAGGTGGGCTCTTGTACATGCCCTGAGGAGTCATGGCAAACTGCTCATCTTGTACTCCCGGTTTACAATGATCATGCACATTTCAAACAAATCTTTCTCTCTCTCAAAAATGGATCCAACACACCACAGCACACTTTTCCATATTCACTTTAGCTACAAATGATCCTAAAATCGACGAAACATACATCACTTTCAACAGCAGAGCCATCTGAAAACCCAAAGCAAAACAAAGCCTGTGAGGTGCAGGTTACATCAACCTTCTACAAAAAAAGGAAAAAAAAAAAAGAAAACTTATAGGTAAACCAGAATATTGAGCTTCTTGGTGGGGGTTTTTGATGGCTTTTTTTGGTTTGTTTGTTTACCTTTCTTTTTTTTTTTTTTAACATTAGCGATAGAGACAAGCAGTCAATATCTTCCTGGCCTAATGAGAGCATCATAGACCTTCATCTAACTCACCCACCAAAGTTACCTTCACAATTAGTGTTCTTTCACTTTTAGTCCCAGGAGACTGAAAAATTATGCAATTACAGCTGATGACAGTCTTTACCAACCACCATCTCTTGTCTGTCAGAAAAACAGCAATATTCTCAAAAAAGTGCACTCTTTCCACTCAGCCCTCTTAGGTACCAATGATGTTTCCCAAGATTTAAATGCTGGGTTGCCTCTCAAGCTAGAGAGAAGCAGTCCCTATGACTAGTTCATCTCCAGGGGTAAATGCTACATGATGTGTTCCCAGGCAGCAGATAAACTCTGTAGCTCTTCCTGGGTGTTCTCTAAGACAAGGGACTATTGCAACAGTCCAAAACAGCACAGGCCAGGACCTGAGGAAGGTGCACAAGCACGCCCTCAGACTAAATCCATATGTCTTCCTGATCGTCACGCAAGACAGTAATCTCCACCAATTAACGCGACATTCATTGCTTTTTATGCAATTAAACACAACAACCAGTTGTGAATCTGATCTCCTCAGAAACTGTTCAGTTACTACATCAGATGATAAAAATAACAGTTTCTCCTGTACAAAAGGTAATTATCCAATGCAGTTATCCACACACCTTTTCTTTTCTTTTTTTTTTTTTTGGCTAAATACGGTGTATCTAGTTTACAGTATCTGTTTCATTATTTGTAACATAAGGCTCAAGTTGTGTTATTTTATGCCCTATAAACGTCAATGGAGGTTGCTGTGCCATTATCATGTGGGAAGATTTCCTGGTTAGTCTCTGCTATGCTTCATATATAGAACACAGGTGTCAGTCTTGGTATGTTATTTTCACATCCACATGGTTAAAAACGAAGAAATGCAAGTTCAGAAGAAGAAATTGTTCAGGTGCTCCTTTAAAGAAAAATCATTTGTGAAAACTGGTGGCTCCAAGAAAAGAGGCAAATAGGATTTCTTACCTGCACAGGTATCTTGGGGGGTTTGGGAGGTCTTTAACCATATAACACTCTCCCCCATTTACACAGAAGGCTTTCTGCTTTACGTCACATTTTGTGAGATGACTTGTCCCAGTTGTGGATGTGGAAGTGGCTGGAAAAGACAAGAACAAGAATATGGATCAGACACTGTTTTTCTTCCTGACTGGTAAGTGTACTTACATGTGAGGGAAGAAGAAAGGCTAGGGATGATTTGGCAAGTCTTACCACAAGAACCAGTAACTTGACCTTGTATTTTGTTGACTGACACAGGGAGTGGAGTTTAAATACACGCCTCAGACATACAAAATCCCCACACTCAGCCTGGGAGGAAGTGAGGGTTTCCCTAGCCCTGTCCATGAAGTGACCTTAAATTTCTGCAACGCTCATGTCTATTTCACTAAAAAAGTGTAATTTACGTGCAGTAACTTATATTGCATTAATTGCATTCAAGTGATTTTGGGGTGTGAGAGTCATTACAGGTTACTGATACAGTACCCAATAAAATCAGGACCTGGATGAGATTTCTTCCTGGCATTGCCCTGAAGTAGGTATTTTTCAGGAAGCTTAACCTGAGGCCCTGTGCTGATTCAAGCCCTCAGTCCAAGTATTTCGCTCTTCCCAAGGGAGAGGGTGAAAGGCTGACTGCTGAATGCCTCTTCCCTAGCTCATAAATGAGAGCTGTGGCTACCCTGGTTCGATTATGCAGGAGGAATAGGACAGGGAGTTTGGAGGTTTTGAATCTTCCTGTGCATATACAATTGTCACCATTGTGTCCACAGGAATCTTTGATCCAGAGGCCAACTTAGCATCTCCTGTAGATGTGTTCATGATCATGGAGTATATTAAATGGTTAAAACTGTCTGCAAACCATAAAAAGTGGTGAAGATTCCTGGATGCATTTTGTTTAGCCATGCCCAGGTGTACAGAAGTAAGAAATTTTGTTACTGTGCTCAAAAAATCCCAGAATACAGACTATCACAGATTATGCCAAGTTGAAAGGCATCCACAAGGATCATTGAGTCCAACTCCTGGCCCTGCACAGGACCATCCCCAGGAGTCAGACCACATGCCCAAGAGTATTGTCCAAGTGCTTCTTGAACTCTGTCAGGTTTGGTACTGTGACCACTGCCCTGGAGAACCTGTTCCAGTGCCCAACCACCCTCTGGGTGAAGAACCTTCTTCTAATATCCAACCTAAACCTCCCCTGACACAACTTCAGGCCATTTTTGTTTCTGAAAGACAGTCTACCCCCAGGTGAAACAATGCTATTATTTAGTGACTGATTCCACTGGAGTCACTAGAAAGCTACACAAAAGTTGTCTGATATTCAAAGCCTTTTCTAACACAAAGGTCCCCAAGGGGTACATTTACAGGAGGCGATTTCCTACACATTTTGAATCTGAAGATTTTAGCAGATCTGCTCTCAACAAATACCTACTTACACATTTTGAGTGGTAGTGTGATGTAACCCCTGTCACATTTGATTGTCATGCATTTCCCATTTTCTTCCAGGTAGATGCATTTTTAGCACTCAGTACCTGGGAAAATGAACCACCTTGGCTGGCACCATTTTCAGAGCAGCTTTACCTATCTGGTTTCAATGAGGCATAAGACAGTGACTGGGACATTTAAGTCTTCTGTTTTACTCCATCAAAATTGCATCTGACTGTACAGCTAACATCTCCCATATCTCTTCCTTCCTTTGCAATCAATCACCAGTGTGTCAGCTTCTTTCTCTTTCTTCCATGCTGCCTTTCTTTCATGGGGTGCCCTACTCTAACAGGCCAGGAAAAAACCTCCCGTGACTTCTTTCAAAACTCAAACTCCCTTCTGCTTTTTGCTTGCACCCACCCATTGTGTCACATCTTCCCAGATTCTGATCCTGACTGGGGCCTCTTAGTGCTAATGAAATGCAAACATAGAGTACTGATTCCTCTTAATAACACATTCCTTTCTCCTGGCCCCTCAAAGCGTGATTTATAACCTCTCAGACGAGGATAAATTTATGTCTTGTCTAGGGGCAGGAAAAGGGGTCATGTTTTAAGAGTAGTCTGACACTCTTTCAGCTAGCACCGGTTCAAACAGGACTTTGCACCCAATGTTGACAAAAGGCTGGCCAACAGACTGCCATCCAGTCAGCAGGGAAGGGCCCTCTGTGCTTGATGTCAGTGGGTTGACAACCATCCTTGACATGAATCTCAGGATGGGGAGACTTGCCTTGTAGAAGAGCCTTTCCTTCTCCACTGGCTTGAAAGGAGCCTGGATTATTGGCCCAAATGAGATGCCTTACATGACAAGCTAGGTCATACCAAGACCTAGGACTGACAAATGTGGGTAGAGCAAATTCCATCTGTACAGTAATGCATACTTTGAAGCCTTTGTGAGTCTCAACAGGTAAATTCAATATGAAGCTTATCCCTGCTGATAGCCTATCCACCATTGTGTCCTTTTACCTTATTAAAAAACAAAAGGGCACACTTAACCTTGAGACAAGCACTCTGAGGATCAGCATTTCTGAGGATTCTCAAGCTCAGAATGATGGCACCTTAATTTTGAAAGGCAAACCCCCAACACTTTAGGAAAAAAAAAACCCACAATTTTGCTATCCTGCTGGCTAATAGAATGCTTTAAATTGAATAATGAAGGTAGATATAGTAAGAAGTGGACTTGTACCTCTCTGTACTTGTTTCCATAATCTCACTGGCTACCTTTTTTTTTTTTTTTTTTTTTCTCGTCAGTTCAATCAAAAGCAGAACACTCAGGAGTTTCAAAGTAACAGTTACTTCCCAGCCGATGTAAGTGAGATTCGGACAGCAGCAATTGCTCTGAACTGATTACTAGAGATGGGCATAATCTGCAGCTCTCAGAGAAACCTCATGATACGAGGGCTTTGCACATATTTGTGAGGAGTGTCTTTACCCACGTTTTGGGCATCACGTATTCAAAACTGTTATATGAATCTTGCACAAGAATTTTCTCTGCATTACTGATCTCCTGGCACCATGGTCTCAGTCTGCCTGAGGTTTATGATGGGGTGAGGGGAGGAAAAAGGTCTCCAGTGGGTTAATTCTGATATTAATTTTTCTTTGCAAAGTATGCAGAGTTTTTATGGCATATAGCCAGTATTCAGTGTACGCACTCTAAGTCTACTTTGCCAATTAAACGCAAGAAACACTAACTATGGTTTTGGGTTTCACTTAGAGCTACATAACGGAAGAAATGTGGGTTTGGGAGCAGGTGTTCATCAGAGTCCATTTCATACAGTCCATGACCAGCCCCAAAATACTGCCTTTCTGTACATCTACAGCAGACACAGGTTTGGAGGATGTATAGCGGGAATGACCAGCAGTGGTGAGGTAAAGCACAGCTGTAGACCATGTATCTGTGTGTTGTTACTTCATCTACTCAAAATATGTACCTCCCTTCTTTTTTGTAATGTTTTCTACAGCTATACAAGCACAAGATAGATAAGTTGTGTTCTAGAGCCCTATACCAAACATGAGCCTACCGAAAGGACTAAATTACATGCATTACATGCATATTACAATTTGAAAATATCATGCATGAGATAAACATCTGAAAACACCGCACACTCTACCTTCCCTTCCCTCTTCCCTGAACACAGAAGCACCACATTTAAAAAAGCAACTGCAGACAGTGTGAACAAAGTCCCTATTAATGCAAATATTCACATGGCACTGAAAAACAATGAGATCTGCTCCCATTCACGGGAATTGCCTAAAGACATCAACAAGAAGAAAAATAGAAGCTATTGTATCTTTTAAAAGCTACTCTCTAAAAGGTGAAGTACCGCTTAAAACCACGTTAGGATCATTTCATGTCAAGCAGATACAACTGAGCTTACCTGGGGAATCTCTGACCCTTTTTTGCCTTGAAATAGAAAAATGCATTATTTTTCTCTGTCTTGCTTTCCAAAAAGCCCTCTGATGTTGAGTGGCTACAGCATCAAGACTCTCAGACCCCGCACAGGTGAGACAGTCCACTGAGAAGAGCCCTAAGGGATCTCTGACTCAAGTCAGACTGAGAGGGAAGGTCTTTGCAACCTAAACAGAATAGTATCCAGAATAGTATCCATGCCTCTTTGAGCTGAGTTTTTGCAAAGCTGGTGTAAAATCAAAGGACAAACTCAAAGTCATGCAAGGGGGCCAGCGAGACTCTATGGAGACATAGGGACTATATGCAGCTGCAGCATAAACAAAGGTTTGCCATTCTCACTGGAAGGCCACTTACTGGAGGTAAATATGCCATCTTATTGGACTGCAGGTGGACACCTTTCCAGTCTCCTTTTGTGAATCTGCAGCTCATGGCAATGGAAGAAGAAGGGACCTGCACGGATTGAAGAAGGGATGGAGGGAGTGAAGGAGGCGAGGAGAGAGTGCACACAAGTGAGCTCTGGGGTGATGAAGTGTATGCCCCCAGGTCACGTTCCCTCATCTGAAGTTCATTCATTTCTTTGAAAGCACAATCCAGCTCCCTCTTGACTTGCTGATGTGCAGTTTAGAGATGCACAGCCCTGATCTGCAGGGTAGATTGATTTCCTGTGTAACCTTGGCCGTAGCACTTAATTCTTCTGTATCTCCATTAAACCACTTACATTTTCTTTGCACTGAGTACTGAGCCTCTTCAACTCACTCTTGACTTCCGTGATGCACCCAACTTGCAACGAACTTGCAATACGGAAAACCTTGGCATTTCTGTGCTGCACTGAATGAGGAAAGCTACTGGTGCCAGCAGAACACAAGACAAAACCTGAGAGCAATCAAAAACTAACCCCTTTCTGAACAGACAAGAATTTCCATTTTACCAGATGTGTAGAAAGATGTTTCGCATCCTTCATACTTAATTGTTCCAGACCTGAAACTGCATTCACGTAGCTCTGAACATACCAAAGGTTTAAAAAATCTGCCAACACCAACAAATAAACACCAGAGGAAAAAAAACCAACCAAAACCAAAAAGCAAAACAGCCAAATCTCTATCTGAGACATCTACAGTGCGTTTATTGGGGCTGCTCAGAATTTTTCACATTGCTTTTGTGATGTAATACCCTAAACTGGATGTTCAATGTAGTTATAAATTTTTTCAGCCTCCG